GCGATCAGGAGACGAGACAAACGCCAAAACCCTCTTTCCACTGGCTGCTAGGATCCAGGACATGAAACAAATAAAAACTGAACAGAAAGACTGACAGAAAGACAAGCAATGATCTGGCCCTGAATGCTCAGGCTGAACTGAATATAAACCAGAGGAAACAGGTGAGAGGAATAAATTATAATTGAGGCAGGGAGGGAAAACGACAGGTGAAAGGACTGACTAATTAAGGGAGAGCAAACAGGCCAGATCATGACAGTTATTACTCCTTCAATCTGTTTTTTTTTTTTTTGTTGTTGTTTTTTTTGCCTTATGGCTTCTTCCCATCCAGGAAGCTTTTTCAATTCAAAATGTCAGGAATACTGTTGAGTTCAAGGTTTCATACAGTAGCCCATCAAAAACTTCGAACTCAATGCTATTCATGACATTCCTGATGTTTCCTGACTTCAGCGAAACGTCTTCAAACTTGGAAACAAAGTCCAGTGGATTGTTTTTAATTTTCTTTTTTTTTAATGACTATGACCCGGATGACTGAGAATCTTCACCAGCATATGGCTTCTTCATCCCTGAGTGGCTTTTCAGTCCATGGTGGTGCAACAGTTGCCTCACTAATGGCAATGGAACCGCCTTGTTGGTCAAACCTGTCCTCACCGGGACACAAAGTGTCTTGAAGGAATGGCTAGACATTGTTTCCCTAATGTGGTGCATTCAGAGGTCTGGAATTATCCCCAAAGAATGAACTAAACCTGTGGATTCCTGATATCTTTGCTGATTACTTTATATTCCGTGTCACACAAGGAAACCAAGAGTTTGAGGGGTTGCTTTAAAAAAAAAAAAAAAGATTTATAAAACTGCTGTGGGGATTTGTGATGAATTACAGTGTGATTTCTAACAGCCTGCAACTCTTGGCCCCAGATATCTGACTCCAAATCCTCCATTAATTGGTATTTAGGTCATATGGAACAGCTTATGTTGTTTCTCTGGTAAAGCTTTTGAGAAAATTGCATCTCCATAATCAATAAAAAGGGAACTTAGCCATCCATTCCAGCGCACAAAGAAGGAAAAACACATCTGGGGAAATAAACTTTCCTCCCTTAAGATATAGCCATTTTCACACAACGTGATGACTGTACATAATTACATCCAGGAACTTTTCCTCAATCATGGTTGATGTCTGCCATGTTTCAACATCAACCAGATGTGTGAATTACTGTTTAGTTTAAGACTTGGCCTCCAATAGCATGCATAAAAAAAACACTTTTGGAGAATGCATGAGTTGATTCTGTTTGCGTTTGGCTGAATCACCTGATAACTCTAACATTTCCCATAACCACAGAGGCGTCTGCTTGAAAAAAAAAAAGATGATCTGCAGACTCTGGACTCATGGATCTCATCACCCACTGACCTGGAAAGCGGGCGCGTAAGATCTGCAACATCACATCAACCAGCAGAGAACATGCTTCTTTTGAAGTGGGAGCGTGGCCAAATTGGATTATGCGGCGACTCAGAAGATCAGCTCCCATATATTTGATTACACACGCCCCCCCTTCACACAGAGCCTCCCAAGAGCAGGACGCAAAGTGTAAGACTGCTCCCCGATCCCGAGTATGGTGCTCCACGTCTCAGTGCGTGCCCATCTGCCAGCCATTTACCTGATTACTTCAGAACAGCTCTTATGGGCCCAGCTCTGCCAGGGAGGCTGGGAAAGCTTTTGTCTGGGTGGATGTCAGAGATAAGGACCAGGTGACCCCTTCATCTGTCAGAATATAAAAGATACCACCCTTTCTTCATAATCTAGCTACAGAAAATCTTTTTTTAAATTTTATTTTTTGTTTATTTCTTATTAAATTAGGCTAAAAAGACTGAACATGCTACAAGTTTAAGTCTGTGGAAGAATCTGCACAAATGCTTCAGGAAAAAACCCCAGCACATATATGTTTTTGCGCTGATTCATACTTTTTTTTTGGCTACTCTACCTATAAGCTACCATTTACAGCCTCAAGATATTCCTCAACCTGTAGAGGTCCTCGAAAAGAACATGCCGTTCTCATTATCTGCTCGCAGCCAAACCTACTGTATAAATAAGGTTTCAAGCACAGACTAAAAATCCCTTCGCTCAAGCATGGCGCACAGACCACCTTCTATTTCGGAGGAAAATAACATCCAGTGCCGGTTTAACTTGGACTCATTATGGTGGAAGTGGGTTCAGGCCCAGGAAGTTTCATTGCTTTCCAAATAAAGCTTTCTAAACAGAGCAGCAATCCAAATTCCTTAAACTTCTGCAATCCTGTCCAAGGCTTTTCACATTAAGTGAAAACTCCCCAAAATTCTGCTTATCCAGGTTTACCTTTTTCAAAGGGAGGGGGGGAAAAAAGTCATTTGTGATTGTTTGGACATGAAAGACTGAAGCAGACCTTTAAATTCAAACCAGGCTGGGGGAAAATTATCAATAACGACTGAGGCCTCATGACATTCCTGCAGCGGGTTTTCATTACCTCACTGCTCACAAATCAAAAACATCACCTTTGATCATATTTCACTGAATTTGGGAATCAGACTCTCAGAGGATGCTGTGGGCTTGCCTCTCAGTCAGGGTCTCATCTAAATGCTCAATTCAGAGAGCTTAAGTAGTTTCTTTTTCACCATAGAGAGGGATCGGCCCAGAAAACCCCTGCTTTCATTGCCACTTGAAATTCAGAAGGGGTGAGACCAGTTCCAGCTCCTTCACTGTGTGGAAAAAAAAAAAAAGGAACATGTCAGTGAGCATAAACAGCTCTACTGGCAGAGATCCACCCCCTCATCCAATCCGGCCCAGTCGACCCCCTCCAACACCCCATCTCTGTGTGCTGTGTGGCGTCAGCAGCAATGAGCTCCAGATGTGGCCTGGCACCCCTCCGGTCACGGAATGGATGTGGTTTGAAGGTAGTTTGGAAACAACACCCACCAGCGGATCCAATGAAAGTGCATCAGGGCTGCGGCGAGAAGTTTCTGCTGCTGGTTCCGATCTGCATTCATTGCATGAAAACAGGATAGAGGGGGATGAGGGGAGTCTGCCTCCTCTATGTGCATTTGTTACATATTTAACATGCTTTGACATGTTAGACATGCTAGACAACAGCTAAGAAGTATTTCCATCTGTCTTAGCTGGGATGGAGATTTATTCTATATACATTTTATGGAGCCCAAAGGAATATACTTTCATGCTTAGTATAAAGTCAAAAAATGCTTCTATAACAGAATACTTTGATTAATCAGTAAATCCTCTGGGTTTTTTAAAGTTATATTGTTGTTCTGGTTGTATCTCATCTGATATATTCCATAGAGTTTTCCAATACTGTGGTAATAAGGACACTATGTTAGCTGCCATAACATGCACTGGTGGGTTGGAAAAATGGAAAACTTCCTTTAGACAATAGCTCCCCCTACTGTCTGAGATTATAAAACCTCTCATTCTGCACATTCAAAGTCATCTATTTACTGCATGCTATGGGTAACAATTAACTCTAAGAAAAAAAAGAGGCTACATGTTAATAAAAAATATCACCAATCAATGAGGTAATTTTTTTCCAGTTTTTTTTTTTTTTTTTTGCAGTTAAATGCAGTCAAACATATCTGAGTTAAAACCTCTTGACTACATTGGTGAAAGGCAAGACATTTTTGTTTTTCGACAGTAGGCTGACAGGAAAGGGGGTATGAGACAGAGGGAGAGACATGCGGCAAAGGATCACAGTTCAGATTCGAACCCAGGTCAGCCGTGTCGAGCACTAAGGCCTCCATACATGGGTCCTGTGCTCTAACGGCTGCAACACTTGCAAGGAAACTAAGTTGTTTTAAATTACCAAATAAATTCAGTTCCAAACACAGATGCTTATAACCAGGCCTCATGCTGCTATCAACCTGTCTGCTGATGTTTGTCCACCATCACCTTCATACCTTAATATTCAGCCCTTTCACACTAATTTGAGGTGCATTCATGTGGATTGATCTGCAATAAAACACTTATTCGACTTAATTCAGTTCAGTTTATTTGGATAACATGTTAACTTTTCATCAGTCTGTCATAGTGAGCATGCACACAGAGATCTGCAGCGTCAGGGAAGTCACTGGTGGGAACCTTCCTCAAGTGTTTCATGTGTATCCGCCTGTTTGAACTGTTGTTCAGAAGGATGAATATGGTCCAAAATGCTTTGCGTAGGATCTTTGAATTGCTTTCTGAGTCAAACAATGTGCATCTTGCTTCATTTTATTGTTATTTTAGTAAAACATCTTTTCCTGAGCTCATTTCATTGGCAATCATCTACAATTCTCCACTTAATCCTTCGAAATGCAGAAGAAACATTTATTTCCTTATTGACCAGACTATAAACTCTTCTTAAGACTTTTTTGGTTTATTTAAATCATAAAAACTTCCAGAATAAAGACTAGAATACAGAAAAATAACAATGGAACCCATAAAATGTAAAAATCCGATTTATTTTTATTTTTTTTATATCAACATGTGTTTGTGGGCTAGAATCTATAGTAAAAGAGCAGCGTTTTTTAACCAACCACAGGCAGGAACCAGTAACCATTGATGATTAAGTGTTGCTGATGTTGAATCAGCAGAGAATCAAAGTGTTGGATTTAGAACAACAGAAGAACCGAGAAGAAAACCAAACTTCGATAATCAACCTTGAACCACTTTGGTTTCATTTACCTTAGTTTTGAACTCTAATCTTTAAAAGTTCCAGAAATCTCTGTGTCATAGTGAAACGATGCTTATTTCGAAATAAAATATTAAATAAATTATCGAATGCAAACTACAGACAACACAGAAACAGCAAAACAATGTCCGCCATGATTCTATCAGTTTCCCACACTGGAAAAAGTTTAAATCTAGATAAGTCATTTTTTCTTAAAATAAGTGCATTTGTTCTTGGATTGAGGAGGTAAAAGAGACATTTTGCCAATGAAACAAGATCATTTACACTTAAAATAAGAAAACACAATTGCATTGTCTTATTTCAATTGCACATTATCTAACTATCTTATTTTAAGACTAAATATCCTCATTCCATTGGTAAACTATCTCATTTACCTACTCAAAATAAGGGTAAATGCACTTAATTTAGGACATTTTTACTCATTTCTTGATGAGTGCAAAGTCTTCATCCTGTATGTTTTTTATTCTCTGACAAAGTATGACTTTATTGTCTCTGTCCGTTCTGATCAGGTGGTTTCAGGAGCTCCTGCAGATCTCCCTGCTGAGCCAGCTGGTAGGGTAGCTGGAGCTTCTGGTTCATCTGGCTGCGCAGAGCTGGGCAGCAGTCTATTAGCAGCCGACATACATCTGTGTGACCCTGTCCTGCAGCCTGAGAAATAAACAAAGAAATGATCACAGGCAACGATCGATCAAAGGTCATTCTGTGAAACGGCTTGACTACTCTTACAGAGAAACTGATTAGAGATCTAGCGTGATTTTCAACCTGGTTCCAAGCCAGTAAGTTGTCTTTGAATGTGAAAAAATGCAATTTTATGGTTTTTGATTTGCACAAAAATTATGCAGTTGATGAAATAAGAATTTGTATTCAAAATAAACTAATTGATAAAGTTACCACCGTTTGTTTTTTTGGGTGTTTAACTTGAGGACAAACTCCTTTGCAGCGAACAAATTGGTACAGTCTGCAAAAAAGTCACTAAATCTCTTGGTATTTTGAGAAGGATTAGAAATTTTTTTCACAATAACTCAACTCAACTTTATTGTCAAATGTGCTACATGTAAACATACAACACAGATGAAATTTCCGTCCTCTCAACCCCACGGTGCATAATAAAATATATATATAAAAAAAAAAAATAAATACATATATATATATATATAATGAACCATAGCATAAAAATAAAAACCTAAGATATAAAAATAAATATTAAAATATGTAAACAGTAGTGTGAATGGTGCAAATAGTGCATAGAGTAGCAGTCCTGACGTGGGGGAGGGAATTGAGCATCCTCACTGCCTGGTGGAAGAAGCTGTAATAAAGTAATGTTAACTTTATATTATTAATAATCTATCCATACCTGTCATATTGGAATTTTGTTTGGGCCAGTACAGGTTCTAGTTATCTTTAAAAAAATCCTACTTTTGCAAAAAGTGTTTGTTAGCTTACACTGCAAAAACGATCTAGAAATAAGTAAAAAAATGTTTAAATTAAGTGTATTTATCCTTAATTTGAGTAGGTAAATATGATGATTTGCCAATGAAATTAGTATCTTTAGTCTTAAAATAAGATAATTAGAAAATATGAACTTGAAATAAGACAATGCAATAGTTTTTTCTTATTTTAAATGTAAATTGCCTTGTTCCATTGCTAAAGTGTCTCACTTTCATCAATTCGAGAAAAAAACGCACTTATTTTAAGAAAAAAATGACTTACTTAGATTTCCATTTTTTTGCAGTGTAGCAACATTTTTTAAAGTTGATACAGCTAGTAGTCCCCTTTTCTCGAAATTACAGCTATTGAATATTTATAAAATTAACATTTATCAAACATGTACCTTTGTTTTTATGATAAAACAAGGTCAACCTCCTGATAGTTTCAAAAATTATTTTATTAAGAACTAAAAAAGTCAATTTTTATAATACTTAGATAGACAAACTTTGTCTTTTCATTTACCATTAAGTATTAAAACTCAAGTCCAATTCTCTCTTCTGCATCGTGGTGCAAAACTATGGAATGAATATAGAAAATATTTGGAATTTTCAGAAATAAATGGTAGAAAGTCTTTGAAGAAAATTATCCAAAATAAAAAAAAAGTGATGTATGACTTTAGAAACATTGACTCCCTGAAATCTAAAAGTTTAAATATAAAGAAAAATGTTACTGTACCTGTGTTTTCTGTTTTCTCATGTCTTTCATAATGTGAGTTGCCTGATATTTTGTTGTTTTAGGGGTGTGGTCTTTGGTTATAAGCTCTATGGGGTTTCTGTCACACTCCATCACATTTCTTATTTTATTTATGTATTCTGAGTTTTCATTTAGATTTGTGAAAAAATAAAATAAAATAAAAAAACGGTAGCACGGATAATGTACCTTGTGTAAAGGATTGGCACCATCATCGTCACAAAGCGAAGGGTCGGCTCCGTATCGTAGAAGGAGCCCAACCACATCAAGATGGCCGCAGTAAGCTGCTCTATGGAGTGGCGTGGCCCCGCCCGGCGTCTGGGGCGATGGACACGCTCCGTTCTCCAGGAGAAAGGCGCAGACAGAGAGATGGCCGTTACGGCTCCCGTAGTGCTGATATAAATAAAAAATTCACTCATTTATGTAACACTATGTGACACAAAATGTGTCACTTATAAAACTATTTAAAAGCTAAACATAACGGAAAACAGAAACATAAGAAAAATAAAACGCCTACGATGAGAGGTTTGTTTTAAAATTGACCAAGTCTTAAGACAGACAATTTGTTTGTTTACTGATATAATTGGCCTGCTTAAGATAACGGGGGGAAAAAACACAGATTTTAGGACAAGATTCTTTTTTTAAATAGAAATTTTCCAACTTTCAGGACAATATCGTCTGATAAAGCATACATTTATGTACATTTTTAAGCCAGAATGATAGCCTAAGACTTTAATGGCAAACAATGGAGATAGAATCTGTGCCTATTTGAACGTATTTTGAGTGTCAAAAATAAAAAGTTGTAGAATAATATCATCTGGGAAAATGTATTCTGATTTGGACAAGTTAATACAGTGGGAATGCAGACAATCAGTTAAAAGCAGCATGACTAAACTCTAATATTGTAACATTAGAGAAAAACAGCAAAACAGAACACATTCATTTTAAGGCTTCATACCTTTTTTTTTTTTTAAGTTTTTTAGTTATTTTTTATAAAATCAAATCAATTAAATTAAATCAATGCAAGCAAATGTTTGTAAGGAGTTGATTGCAGAAAATCCAGCTGTTTACAGGTAACTTCGCTGTTAGGTTGGAGCTAAAAACAAAGTCAGCTTTTCAAGTAAAAAAAAAAAAAAATTGTTTCAACTTTGTTATATTGTAATGTCTTTTGATATTTTTTGTAATTATTTCCTCCAATTCCATGACGAAACTTCATCTTTCTTTTACGGTGACTCTCAAACTGCACAAATTATTAGCTCATTTAAAACAGGGCGGAACTAAAGCTGTTTACACTTCTTATCCTTTACAAACTAAATCTTTGTACATCAACCGCAACAGTCATCTCAGATCAGTTCAAAATAAAGTTATTAATGCCAAAGGAAGACAAACTGTTTTATTTTCGTCATACGGAAGTTTATTTACAGAGATGTTGTGCTTGGCGACGGCTGTGGGCAGGAAGAGTCTTTTATAGTTTGTCTTCCTGCAGATCTGAATGAACCTCGAATCAAACCCAGAGCTAGAAACCAATTAGATTTACTCAGCTACAGTTACTGACTAACTTTTAGAAAAATAGTAAAAATAGTTTTGTTGTACGATACTTTTTATATTACTTAATATATTTTTTTGTGCCAAGCTCCATCTTATATCA